TCCTTTATATGTGGTTCAGAGTTCTGGGACCAGCCCGTGAGCCTGCTTGGTCGGGAATTCTGTGTTGTTGTTGGCGGAGCTCTCTGCTATACGTCCACCCGATCCGCCATCTTGTTTGTTCTCTCACAAAATATTATTTTAAAAAATAAAAATGTGCAGCTATTTAGGTTTGTATGTTTCTGAAGGTGGTGTTTCCAGTTCTCTAACCCATTCCCAAAGAATTCTCCACTCCGATTTACACCACATCAACACAGCAGTGTTGGCATACTTGATGAGCTCTAATTGTATTCCTTTTCAATGTTCTTTGAGATCTGCGAACAAAAAACAATCAGGAACGGAAAAGATTAGGGTTGTAGGGTGGGTGGGATAAAGTTTGCTAACAAAATTTGAGAAAGAGCCCTCGCTACCCTCGAAGAATCAGGAAGCACTTTTCAGTTTTTTAAAACTTCTTCATGATAATTCCCTGTCATCTTCCTGTGCTCTTTAAGAAAATCTGTCATGATGACCCCTTTGCAATCCCAGCCAACAAACTCTGCATGACCTTCAAAGCTGACCTTTCTGCCTTGACCTTAACTGGCCCTGCAGATCCCATCAGAAGCCCGTTAGTTGTTGTCTTACACAGAGACATGTATCTCAGAGAAATGGCCCAGACAATTCGAGAGGCTGGCACATTCCATGTCTGTGGACCACATGTCAGGATGGAGACTTCTGACTCATATAGCTGAAGGGGCTGATGAACTCAAGATTAGCAGGTCCAATGGCAGGATGCTGGCTTCAGGCTACAAAGGCAAAGGAATCCAAGGTTGACAGCTAAGGTGGCAGACTGTTGACGTCACCTAGGATTGGCAGGGTGCTGGCTCAAGTTCAGAGAACTAGAGGTCAGCTGTAGGATCCATATACAGAAAGAAGTCAGTGTGCTATTTTGAGGAACACTGAGATGTCAAAAATCAACCATGTAAATAATTAAAATAACTTGTTTTTTTGAGATTCATAGTATATCTCATAGGTTTTTATTCTCAATGATGTAAAATACAGAGTTGGATTTGAACAGAATGTTTATTTTTGCTGTAAGCATTTTCATGCTTTGATTGGGCCTTTTTTTAAATTAGATTAAGACAAGTGTGTTACTGAGAGAACTTGTCTGCAAGCCATCCACTGATCTCAAAGACATTTTGTTTGGAATAAACATGAACCCTAGTAGCAATACTGTTTTAATTCTTTCTGTAAGCACACATTGTTATTAAGTGCTGTTGAGTTGATTCAGATTCATACCAACCTTATATAAGGCTTCTGAGGGGTGGCTGGTAGTTTTGAATCTCCAGCATTGCCATTAGCAGTCCAGTGCTTATCCTAGAGCTCCATACATTGTTGTTGTTGTTAAGTACCGATAAGTCGATTCCAACCCATAGCAATCCTGTATAGGGTTTCCAAGGAGCAACTGGTGAGCTTGAACCAACGAACCCTGCATTTCAAACGACTTTGCAGTCTGACACATTAGCCCACAGCGCCACAGTAGTTGGCATATAAAATATCTAACCTGTCGGAGTTACAGTTTTCCTTAGAGAAGTAAAATGTTCATTCTTCCTGAGGCATTTGGTCCTTTTCATACATGTATTTTATTGTTTTATCCAGAATAAAGAAGACATGGAAAAGGATGAAAAGAGGGATGAGGAAAGGCAGAAGACAAAACGTGGACGACCGCCTTTAAAATCTACCCTTTCATCAAACATGCCGTATGGTTTGTCGAAGACACCAAACAGTGACGGGAAATCAGGTACCTGAAGTGTTTACCGTCCACCTCTGCACCAGACAGCTCACCTCTGTCTAATGAAATGGAAAGTGCTCAATTTTGAGGAACACAGAGTTGTCCAAAAGCAGCCATATAAATAATAAGAAACTTCAGTTGTTTGAGATTCATAGTATGTCTTCTAGGTTTTAATCTAACCTGATGCAAATTACAGAGTTGGATTTGAAGAGAATGTTTATTATGCTATAAAAGCATTTTATGTAACGTTTTAGTGATATAGCATGATTTGGTAAGCTGTGCTTCCTAGTTTGTGTTCTGCTGCCTTTAAAGTGCACAATGATGTCGCCTATAAATTCAGTGCTGTTGACCCAAGATCTTTCAACAAATCACAGACCTTGTTGCTCAAAGCATGCACAAACACTATGGAATAGGCTTGTGATGCACATACCTGATTATATCGTAATCTTCACTTACCTCTTTTCTACTTTCTTACCTTTGTTTTTCCATGTAGTTTAATAAACGTGAAATAATTTAATTAAAATTAAAAAGGAAGAAATGTAAAAAATTTTTTCCTCCAAAAAGAAAACTTGCCACATGGTTCTCATGTGTAAATTAGAAGAGAGCATTCTTGTTTCTCCTTACTGCCATCTTCTGGAAAGCCATGATAGTACAGAAATGCAAGATGCTGATGAAGTGTACCTATTAGAGGTAATACCCAGGGAGAGTGGTGGTGTGCTGTCATGTCAGTTCTCACTCATAGTGACTCTCTATAGGGTTTCTGAGGAGCAGCTGGTGTGTTTGAACTATTGACCTTGTAGTTCATAGTCCAGTGCTGATCCTACAGTGCCATACCAGGAGTCCAACAGTATACAACCTACATAGTGTATGTGGAAGCCTTGCTAAACTACCACATAAAAGACCTTTGTTTTTACCATGATAACAAATGAAGTCTATATTCTATGTATGATAAAACTGCAAATTGAAATTTTGACTATGAACTCTTTCATTTAATAAAAAAAAAAAAAAAAAAAGAATTTATGGTTTTCTTTTTGGACTTCCTTAGGCTAGGAGCACCGAATGGCAGTGTTTTATTTTATAGCTCTTACCTGGCAATCTTTGCACCGAATTTTATTATATATTGAAAAATTCCCTTTAACAAATTAATTTATTTAGCAAGAAGATAGCTTGCCTTTACTTTTGTATTTATTCTTTATAGGAATATATAGTGTATTAAGAATTTAAATTATTCATTTTGAATGTCTCTTCTTCCCAGAATTATTTTAAGTCAAATGTCACAGTCCTTTCTTAGAATACAAAATGGCCATCACATTTATTAATTAGTAGTTAGATTACTTATTAATCTGAGTAACTACTTAGTAATTACTTATTAATAAGATTACTTATTAATCTGAGTAATTAGATTACTTAGCATATTAATTTTATATTTCAGTATATAAAATCATTTGATTTTTCTAAGTGCTATTATAGCCTGCCTAGGATGTTAATGAAAATTGCAAAACAGGGCTGTATACAGAATTAAGATTGTAATATTTGCTATGCATTGGGCTTTTACATGAAGCTTCATTTGAAATAACCTCTACTTCAATTTTTGGCACAAATGAATAACTGGTTTTATATAACAGGCTTCTACAAGCAGTTATTCAGAAGTTGTATGATTAAGGCTTTATTTGCTCTTAGTGAGATTTTTATTAACTACATTGGTAACTAAAATAGAAACCTTTGATAATATAATAATATTTCCTCTTGCAGATTCTTGTTCATCTGATAGTGAAACAGAAGACCCTTTGGAAAAGAATTTGATGAATGAAGAACTTTCTCCTGATATTAAAGAAGAAATAGAAAAAAATGAAAATTTAAATGATGATAAACTGGATGAAGAAAATCCCAAGATTGTACATGTGCTAAAAGAAAATGACAGGACTCAAATGCAACCTTTAGAAACCCTAAAGTTAGAAGTTGGAGAGAATGAACAAATAGTACAGATTTTTGGAAACAAAGTGGAACAGGTCGTAGAAGTTAAGAAAGAGGTAGAAAAATCTCCTAAAGGAAAAGGAAGAAGGAGCAAGACAAAAGATCTTTCATTAGAAATTATAAAGATCTCATCATTAAGCCAGGATGAAGCAGTATGTGAACCTCAAATGGAAGCTCAGAATCTAGAATTTCCTTCATTGGACAGTAAAGACTTTTCTTCTGCTACAGAAGATGAAATTGACCAATGCATAAAAGAAAAAAAATTAAAACGGAAAATACTAGGACAATCGCCAGAGAAAAAAATAAAAATTGAGAATGGAATGGAAATGACAAATAGTTTATCTCAAGAAAGGACCAGTGATTGTATGGGATCTGAGGGGGTGAAAAATTTACATTTTGAACAGCACTTTGAAACAGAAAATGAGGGAATGCCGTCATTAATAGCTGAGTCAAATCAATGCATTAAAGAACTGGCTAGTGAAAAATGTGATAGTCCAGCTGAAGAAACTGTAAGTACTCCACTAAAAGAAGAAGAGGATCTGATGCCTCTGATTGGGCCTGAGACCTTGGTTTGCCATGAGGTCGATTTGGACGATTTGGATGAAAAAGATAAGAACAGTATTGAGGATGTGGTGGTAGAAAGCTCTGAATCAAATTCTTTGGTTTCAATTCCATCTTCCCTACCTCCTGTGGTCCAACATAACTTTTCAGTAGCATCGCCTCTCACTCTCAGTCAAGATGAGTCTCGAAGTATAAAAAGTGAGAGTGATATTACAATTGAAGTTGATAGTATTGCTGAGGAATCTCAAGAAGGTCTCTGTGAGAGGGAAGCAGCCAACGGATTTGAAGCCAGCGTCACTGCTAGTACCTGTAGTATAATCATACAAGAGAGAGAGAGCAGAGACAAGGGTAAGGACTGTCTTGGGGTGGGGGGGTGGGTAGGGATGCTTTTGTATAACAACCAAAAATAAGTTTGTAGAGAATTTGTGAAATACTGTTCTTACTGTTTACTTTCACTTCTTTTCTTTCCTCCATCTAGTATGAGATGACTGGAAGTGCTGTCGAGTTGGTTCCGACCCATAGCGACCCTGTACAGGGTTTCCAAGGATATAAATCCTTACGGGAGTAGAAAGCCTCATCTTTCTCCCGCGGAGCGGCTGGTAGTTTCGAACCGCTGACCTTAAGGTTCACAGCCCGATTCGTAACCACTACGCTAATTATACAACGTAATTATAGACAGGTGGACTAATGTGTGTGCCCTTTGTTTATGTGTGTGTTTTTTGTTTTTTAAAGTTCTTTTTCTTATTGCAGGTCAGAAAAGGCCAAGCGATGGAAATAGTGGCTTGTTGGCAAAAAAGCAGAAGCGAACGCCAAAGCGAACAAGTGCTGTACCCAAAAATGAAAAGAATGGAGCAGGTTGGCGCTTTTTAATGTTGGTTTTAGTATATGCCAATATTTTCAGCAGCTTATGTTAGACTTAACATAAATTTGGCTTAGTATGTTCTGAAAACAGCCGTTTTGCCATTAACTTTAAACCTGAAGGTGCTTGCCATACTGTATTTGACCTGGGATGGCTGTAGTTTCTCTTTTTAGGCTTATATTTAATTTGTATTTCTCATGCTGTTGTTAAGTGCTGTCAAGTCAGTTCTGACTCATAGTGATCCTATTTAGGGTTCCCAAGGCTGTAAATCTTTGTGGGAGCAGAAAGCCTCATATTTGTCCCAGTTTTCAGCTGGTGGGCTTGAACCCTTTACCTTGTGCTTCAGTGCCCAGTGTGTTTCCTACAGAGCCACCGTTCTCCTGTATTTATTATATAAGAAAGGTTGATATTAGAAGGGCATATTTGGGGATCTTGGCTAAAAGAAAAGGAATATTTTCTGTAGTTTTAAAAGTATAGGAAGGTTACATTTATAGCTGGAATGTTTTCCTATAAGTTAGAAAAGGCTGCTTTGTAAATACCATCATAGCAATTTTAACACATGGAAGAAATAATGATAATTTTGATTTCGACAACAACAACAAAAAATGCACAAATCAATATAAATAGATTATATGAAAAACTTCAACACAATAAAGAATAGAATTAGGAATAAACTGTAGTAGAAATAAGTGATTGATATTGACAAAATTTCATTCTAACTCTGAATTATGCAGACAGCTTTTTGCATATATGAAAGGGAAATCCTAAGTAACATTAGACACATACTCCAGGGAAAAGCATATAGTTCATATAGAAGACATTTCAAAGGAAAATCTTTGAGGAATATTTCAAGTTGTCAGTAGCACATATGGCTGTATAGCTGGACAATGCAATTCTAAAGTTAGAAAAAGAGTGATAGGAGATGAGACTAGAAAGGGAGCAGGAATTACAAAGGGTCAAAGAGTGACTTTGCAGTGGAAAAGTCTGATGGATACCACCTTACTCAAGTGATCAAAGACCACCACCAGTTTGGAACAAATTGAAATCATGTATCACGTCACAGAATGAAACAAGGAGAACATAGCATCACATACCTGTGCTACTCCTGTCTAAGATGCATAATCTGAATCTAACCATGAGAAACCACCAGCTCAGTCTAAACTGATGGATCGGCTATTCAACAAGTCTCCTGTAATTTTATAAAAGACTCGTGGTATGCCACTGTAAGATCAGCACTGGACTGCTAACCACAAGGACAGCGGTTCAAACCCACTAGCCGCTCTTCAGAAACCCTATACAGGGTCCCTGTGAGTCAGAACTGACTTGATGGCATTAATAAAAAACAACAAATTTTCAAAAGTGTTAAGGTCACGAAACCCAAGGAATGACAGAAAACTCTAGATTGTAGAGACTTAGGTGACGGGACAGCTAACTGTGCTAGATCATGCTCACCTGGATTCTTATAAGGACATTTTGGGGTCAGTTGACACATGGGATATGAGAATTAGGTGAGACCCCTGGTGATGCCATCGTTAAGTGCTTGCCTGTTAACCCAGTGTCGGCAGTGTGAACCAACCAGCTGCTCCGAGGGAGAAAAGAGTTGAGTTGATGATCTGTTCCCATAGAGATTTTGTCCTAGGAAACCCTAAGGAATAGTTTTACTTACTGTCTCATACAATAGATTGGACAGTACACAACAACAAAAGATATGTATGTTATTTTCCTGGTTTTCATGGTTATGTGAGGGGGCTTCAAAAAGTTCATGGAAAAATTTCACTATCTCTTCATTCCATTTTCCACATACTTTTTGAACCCACCCCCACCCCCCGCCGCCCATGTCTTATGGTCTTGTAAAAGCAGTGCGGTGATTTAAAAATCAGGTCCACAAATTCTTCGATGTTTTTTTCCTTCAATTAGCTGGTGCCTAATTTTTAGCCCCTTGAGTGTGGGTTGAATTTAGGGTCTCATTTTTTAACAAAAGGGAAGCAACAATGTATGATTCCAGAGAATAAGTCATAAAAGGTCTTGCAAATTCTTGTTCTCTCTTGTATCGCTTACTCTGGGGGAAACTAGCTGCCATGTTGTGAGGAATCTGTGGAGAGTCTTACGTGGTGAGGAACTGAGGGCATCCTGCCAACAGCTCCAGAAGGGAGCCATCTTGGAAGCAGATCCACCAGCTCCTGTCAGACCTTCAGAGACCGCAGGTCTGGCTCAAAGTTTAACTACAAACTCTCAAGATGCCCTGAGCCAGACCACACAGCCAAACTGCTCCCAGATTCCCAACTCTCAGAAACCATGTGAGATATTAAGCATTTGTAGTTTTAAAGTGCTCATAAATGTTAGGCTGCTTTGTAATACAGCAGTGAATAACTAACACAAAAAATCCTTGTGTCTGGGAAATACACACACATATTCCTGAGTGTGACAAGACTTCATGACATGATGAGAGTACTCACATGGCTTAGGGAAACCGTGGTTTGTACTATTCTTACAAGTGTAAATTTGAAGATGGTTTTGAAATAAACAAGGGAGATAGTGTGTTCATTGATTGGCTGGTTGCAAATGGTTATTTAAAATGGTAAGCCAAAGGATTACTGTTTATAGGGAGGAACCATTCAAGGTATTTTAACAGGGGAAGGAGATACTCAGTTTTATTCTTCTGAAAAAATCTTTGGATTACTATAGCAGTGAAGGAAGGACTCAGTTAAAGTGGTTTGGTAAATAAAAATCATGTTGTTAAGTGTCATCGAGTCATTCTGACTTACAGTAACCCTGTATAGGGTTTCCAAGAAACGACTGATGGGTTTGAACCACTGATGTCACTGTTAACAGTCCACAATGATATAAATCACTAGGATTACATTATCTTTCATTAGATTGTTACTCGTTTATTAATAGTAAAATTGTTAACTGAGATATGAAATATGTAAGTAGCTGTAGATTGTTTAAAGAGTAATTTGAGGAATGTTGAATTAGAGATAACCCAGTATTAAAAAATAGTGGTCAAGGAAAACCACCAAAAGTAGAATTATGTGGGGTATCCCTTTATATGAGCCAAGAAGAGCAGAGTAGACACTGACCAGAGTTAAATGTAAATCAGTAAATATGCTAGCATTTGAATAAGAAGTTTGATTTGCTATTCAAGAAGGATTAAAATGCATTCATTGATTTAGGCAACAGTAAATACATGAGACTATAACAAGAGTCCAGAGGTGTTTTTGGTATTGGGGTAAGGAAAGCAGATCATTATTCGTGGGAAATTTGACCCTAACAAGAAGGAGAGGGGTACCAACTAAAGGGGAACTCTTCCCTGGGAAAGGAAGAAATTGAAGATAAACGAACTTGGATTGGCTTCAGGGAGCTGAGAGGACATGAAGTTGAAGAGATCCAGTTTTCCAGAAAGTTTCTTCTTTTTTGAGACTGAAAACAAGAGAAGGGCTGGAAAGTTGAGTGTGTAATACTAATTTTGCCTTTGTAGTAATAACCAGAGTTGGCTTTTGATAGTGAGCAGGGGGGTATGTAGAATATATAGCTTGGTGGAAAAAAGGAAGTAAAATTGTAAGAGAAAAACATTGATTTTCTTTTTTGGGGAACCATTATGAACTTTGTGCAACATCAGATAAAAGATTGAAGTTACCAAGGATTTCATTTTACTTGGATCCACAGTGAATGTCCATGGACTCAGCAGTCAAGAAATCACAAAATGTATTTCATTGGGCAAATATGGCTGCTAAAGCTTTCTTTAAAGTGTTCACAAGCAAAGATGTCACCTTAAGGATTTAACTATGTGCCCGACCCAAGTCATGGTATTTTCAGTCGCTTCATATGCATGTGAAAGCTGGACGATAAAGGAAGTTCGAAGAAAAACTGATGTTTGGATTATAGTGTTCGGTGAAGAATACACCTGAACTGCCAGAAGAACAAACAAATCTATTTTAGAAGAAGTACAGCTAGAATGTTGCTTAGAAGTGAGGAGAGAGACTTCAGTCTCACTTGGGACATGTTGCCTGAAGGACCAGTCTCTGGAGATGGACATCATGCTTGGTAAAGTAGAGGGTGAGTGCGAAAGAGAAAGCCCTCCAATGAGACGGACTGACATAGTGGCTGTAACAGTGGGCTCAAAGAGCAACAATTGTGAGCACGGTGCAGGACTATGCACACTTGTACATAAGTTGGAACCAACTTGTTGGCACCTAATAGCAACAAATTGTACATTGTGTATTATTTCTGTAGGGTGTAATTTCTGAGTCTACTGTTCCTTTGTTTTTTTTTTTTTTCCATCCCAAATAATCTTTCTTACTATTAAATAGAAAATATACATGAACCAGAACATTTGCCATTTCAATATTTTTTACTTGTACAATCCAGTGATAGTAATTATATTCATCATGTTATGTAGCCAGCCATTAGTATCTGTTGCATTTAATATTTGAAATTTTTATCCTTTATAATCTCTGAAGTCAATTCTTTCTTGTTACAGGACAAAGCAGTGATAGCGAAGATCTTCCTGTCATAGACAATTCAAGTAAATGTACCCCAGTAAAGCATCTTAACGTATCAAAACCACAGAAGCTCGCACGATCTCCTGCAAGAATATCCCCTCACATTAAAGATGGAGAAAAAGATAAGCACAGAGAAAAACATCCAAATTCATCTCCTAGGACGTACAAGTGGAGCTTTCAACTCAGTAAGTCTGAATGTGTTTTTTAAAGTGGAAAAATTTTTTTAAGATATATATATAGTTAGATTAATGTTGCTAAATAAGGAATTCATTTAAAACCAAGGTTGTTGGGGTGACTTGAACGGTTAATGCACTCAGCTACTAACCTTATAGTTCAGTTCGAGTCCACCCAGAGATGCCTGACCTGGCCTGACCATCAATCTGCCAGTGGTCACTGACACCGAAAAACCTGTGGAGCACCTTTGCTCTGTGGCACATACTGCCTCGAGTCAGAATTGATTCAACAGCAAATGGTGTGATTTTCTTTTTATTATTATTTAAATAATTAACAAAGGCACTTAATTAGGCTGTCCCAAGTATTTTATATCTGTAATTGCCACGTATCTGGCTCTTTTGATAATACTAACTTGATTTTTACGGAAGTTAAGAAAAAACAAAAAACTCTTGATCAGTTTTTTTATTTCAGATTAGGGCTGTTTATGTTGATGTTTTCTTGTTCACTTAAATAATACATGTTCAGTTTGGGATATTTATCTAAATAACTCTTATTCATGAATGTACAAGACTGCACTATTTACAGAGCTATGTTTAGTTTAATATTACAAATTTTGATAGAATTGCTATCTTCCTTCCCCCCCCCACCCCCGGAGAATGTTTTAAAAATCCTGATTAACTTTTCCCTCCCTTTTAGATGAATTAGATAATATGAATAGTACAGAGAGAATCTCCTTTCTTCAAGAAAAACTGCAGGAAATCAGAAAATATTACATGTCTTTGAAGTCTGAAGTTGCTACTATAGATAGGAGGAGAAAAAGACTAAAAAAGAAAGACAGAGAAGGTAACTATTATAAATCTTCTGATTTTACAAGTGTGTATACTATGATTTTAGATGACTTGGCGTTTGATTTGATTATATTACACATTAATTGTGTTTAGATTCCCAATGTTTTGTTCTCTGTCAACAACTGAATCAAGATCCTTAAAAGGCCAGTCATCTTTTCACAAAACATGTGCTTTTACTAAATGTGATAGGTAGGTCCTAAAGAGGAGCTTTCGCTCTCTGAAATTCACTCTTTACCTAATACTTACTAGTTGTCTATTAATAGGCACTGTACTTCTATTATAGGGTTCAGCAAAATGAGTATTTTATTGGAATCATAAGTCATTTCAAAAATAATTACTGTATAGTATATTTTATCTCAAGATGCTCCTTGGAAACACTATACAAGGTCACTATGGGTTGGAACCGACTCGACAGCACTTCCCAATTACAACAACCATAGATGAATTGTGGAATTGTGGGTTAATGCACTGGGCCGCAGAATCAGTTTGAACCACAAGGTTCGTGGTTCAAGCTCACCAGCCGCTCCTCGGAAACCCTATACAGGGTCGATATGGGTCAGAACTGACTAGAATAAGATCTAGACCTTGCTCTCACAGAAGAGGCTGTAGATGAAAGCTCTCAGGATGATACTAACAAGCATAGAAGCGTAGTGAACAGAGAGATTACCTTGGCATAATCACGGAGAGGGAGTAGTCTCCAAGCTAGACCTTAACAATATATCGGATTGGTTGATAGTTAAATATGGGCATGCTCACACCCATTCTACCCAAAAACACCGGTAAAACAATAGTAAAGGAAATTAAGTGACTTGTAGCTACAAATAAGGAGCTCTGGTAGCATAGTGGTTATGAGTCGGGCTGTTAACCTCATAGTTAGCAGTTTGAAAATACCAGCCATTCTGTGGGAGAAAGATGAGGCTTTCTGCTTCTTTAAAGATTTACAGCTTCTGGTTCGGTATGAGTCAGAACTAATATCTTGAATAAGCATCAATTAAAACTTGAAATAAAACAGTTTAATCCACAACACACCACCACTACCACCATATCCACAAATTCAAGGGAAAGGCACTATAGACTACAGCAGAAAAGAAATACCAACAGCATTTCTTTTGGAAACTGAGAAACAGATGGACTCTTATCACTGTTCCAGCATACGAAAAATGACAAGTGAAGTTTGCAAAAAGTGAGCAAGTCACTTCATACTACATAACCGCAGAGAAAGTCAAAGGTATGATGTGCCTTTTGAAGGCAGAATTATGGGAGGAGACTGAAACTGGAGGAGCCGTTATATCCCATCCTTTCACCCTATAAAGCTAGGCTCTCTCTTCTGAACTCTAGCAGAAAGTAGAGGTTAACTTACTGAAAGGTGTTGGAAAGAATATTAGGTTTGTAGACTTAGGGATACCTTCAATAGCTGAAGATGAGGGTTAACTATTTAACAGAAATCATTAGATGGAGTGTAAGTTTGATTATTGAATAGTGAGACTTCTGTCCTTTTTCCAACCCAAGATCTTATCTGCTTATTTCCTGAAATATAGCAGCCAAGCTTATGCCCATTCCTGAAAGGAGACTGGATTCCTTTCTGGAAAAACTGACTACCAACCCTAGAGAAATGAACTACACGTAGATGCCAATATTTGGAGGTCCCTGAAATTATAATTACATCTCAAGTTATAGGTAAAAATATTGTGACCTGACATAAGAATATGGCACTATTTTTTTAAACTTCGAGAACACAAAGGATCTCACCAAATTTAAAGTGTAATAGCAAGCATTTTTTAAAATTCAGTAGAAAAGATCATTTAAGAGAGATCAATAGAAAAGCCAGTGAAGCTGAATGGAACCTCTAGGAAGACCACTGATGGCAGGTTTAGAAATAGAAGGCATTCTAATTGGGTGGAGCAGAAGAGATGTGGTCCAAGAAGCAGTTTCTTATTAAAAAACAATAAATAACCTGAGGTTTGGCTGTATGTATAGTGAGGAATTCTGGATATAGAATAACCTTGTTATAAGTGGTCTTGAATCATTCTACTTCAAATGTATCCGTCATTGATTCTTGGAAACATTAAATACAATGGTACAAATTCAGAGGGGTCAGACTTTCCAATTTCCATGTTTGAAATGTTTATAGAACTCTCAAATACAAAACAGAGAAAGGAGCAAATTAACAAATTGAGTTTTTTGTGTGTGTGTGGTTTTTTTTTGTAATGAGTTGCATGTCATAGTGGTAGTACACATACACTTGTAGATCTCTTAAACAATCATTAAAACTTGAAATAAAATAGAAATCGTTGGACAAAGATTGGCGAAGAGCTTTCTAAAAGAGAGGAAAGTTAAAAAGCAAAATTTTAAAAAGGCAAAGCACCTACTGCACAGAGTGGTGATCTTTAATCTGTATATGGTCTTCTGAAGACCATATACAGATTAAAAGGGATTCCTTTTGTGTTTTCCGTCATACACCTGTTCTTTTATTCCATTCCTCATAATTCTGATACACACCTTACATAACTACTGTTGCTTTTAGAGATACTATGCCCATCAGTTGTGTTGGGGCAGAATAAAGATGGAACAAGGTTAGGTGGTTATGGGACATTCTGTGGGATAAGTGGATTCTCTTAACGCGTCTATGAGACCTAGAGACAAGAGAAATTTCCTGTTGTGAGAATTTATCTCAGGTGGTTCTTGTTTCTGAAATGGGGTAGTTTTAATTTGCCTTTGTCTGGATATCTTTGTGCATTTAAGATTAACATAGCTGTTTTGACTCCACAGTGTCTCATGCAGGAGCCTCCATGTCATCTGCTTCGTCAGACACTGGAATGAGTCCCTCATCATCTTCTCCCCCACAAAATGTACTTGCTGTAGAATGCAGGTGATAAATGTTTTCTCTGCTTCCCAGCAGTTTGCTGCCATGGACATAAATCCCCCACCCCTGAAATACAACCACAGAAAGCACTCAACTGGTTTGACATTGCCAAGTATATCTTGTATACTTTCCCAGGCTGGATTGTATCTCCTCCTTCCTCTTTTCTTTCTTCCTGTTGCAAAATATAAGCTGATTAATAATTGAAGGTTAGGCAGCCTGCCATATTTGTCATAATTTTTCCCTTTAATTTTTTTTTCATTTTTTGTGACTATAGAAAAAGGGCACTTAGCAAATTTGAATTTGTATAATAAAGCTTTCAGGTGTTAGAGAAATCATAGATCAGCAAGTACACATGATAAACATCAAAATATTATCCAGCTCAGTAGTTACTGCTGCACTTTCACTAAGATGTATTTGAACACTTGGTGAGTAGGGGGTTTATGTTGTGTGTGGTTTTTTTTTATTATTGTTGTTGTTGTTTATTTTTGTGGAAGCACTTGCTATTTAGAACTGCCAAAGTATATGTTCAGCAGTGTGCCCAGTTTTAAAGGTGTAAATGGGACAAAATAAATTGTGAAAGGAAGTGTAGTTGACTGAAAACTACAGTTGTCATAAGTCTTCCACTTTTTATAGGATTTTTGAGCACACAATTATGCAAATATTTTAATGTTTATTAATGTTTACAGTGGAATTGTGAATACGTTTTCAGTGGACTATCTTATCCCTTGACAAAAATATTTTGTCTTTTTTCTATGTAATTTCAGAGTTTTTATTTTGTTACAAAAAGACAAAAATGAAATATATAACAACAATGAAGTTATTTAACAAGATTTCTAAAGCTGAAAATTTTTGTGTAAAATAAGGTATTATCTTGCAACTTGTTAAATATATTTATTCAGACATTGGATGTTGTATTTTTATGTATTTTTAAAAATATTAATAAAATTGAAAAAAATAAAATTCTAGGTTAATTCACTCTTTGGATGATAATAGCTCTCAGCTGTCCCTTTTACAGGAGGTTGTGTGTAGCAGCCTTGCCTGTATTGAAGGGAGTCTGTGTCTGTCCTTCAAACAGAACTATCAATGGGCATCTGGATCATTAAAGTATGTCCTCATGTAGAAACTTTGGCAGTCCTAGTATTTAAGCTGTTTTGAGGATCAAATTTTTGGTTGCCCTTAAGATACTTTGTTAGTTTTTATGTTTGCTATACTGCCGAATAAATTCCTATCTCCCAAAGTTGAGATGCAACAACTAAGTAAAGCAACTATGTATGCTTTGTCTGTGAATTGTCCCACAGACGGATACATTTTGTAAATAATTCTTCCAAAATCATGTATTTAAAGCAGTTTTGCATATACATTATGTAAAAAGGTGATTTTTTTAAAATCAATTTTTAAATTCATTTGTACATTGAAAGGGGTTTTTTCAAGCTCCTTTTCTGTGTTTAATATGCTGTAGAATAATAACCTAGAGGCTCTGGACTGTCTATCAGGATCTGATTTACAAGAAGAGTCAGAGCTCAACACTAGTGATGAAATAGCATTACTGAATTCATTGTTTCTTAATTTCATTTGACCACGTTGTGAACTTGTGATTCAGATTCCTTCCATTTTCGCAGAGAATTAAAAACAAAAAAAGTACTCTTGTAAAATGCACTTTTTCTGTCTTTTCTTTGCAAAGCAGAAGTATTTCAATGTACTATAAAAACAGAGCTCAGCGGGCAGTATTAATAAAGGCCATGTTTTAAACATAGGCTAAATATTTATAGTTTTCATTTAAGTGGTGGTTTTTGTCATAATTGCCAATAACTAACAGTTGTAAATCAGACTTCATAAAGTAAAACATTCCAGAATGTTCTTCAGAATTTCATTAAATAATACTTACACGTCTTAATTATAAAAATTGGGAAAAAAAATAGTGACATTCAAATCTAGTTGGAATAGGAGGCAACCCGAGATTCAGACTTGCAGTATTATTTCTTTTAATAAATCTGTGATAAGGCATTATCAGCTTGATTTCTGTTCTTTCCAATTAAGTCTAGTAATGAAGTATTAGAACCTTTGCTACAGAGAAGAATTATATATTCATTAAATATAAACATTGAAAAGCCATTCATTTTGGAACCGGAAAAGCTTGTGAAACTAAGTGAATATTGAATAGGTTTTACAGTTCAAATAGTGAGCATATACATGTACATCTTCTCAAAACATGTTTTAAGTTTAGTTAAGCTTTGACTAGATGGCTCTTGCATGTGAAAGTAAAAGATTTTCTTCAATATCTGCTACCTGAAAATGGAAGATGCTGTCTATGAAGTTCAGTTATTTAATAGTTTATGAAACTCTTCTAGCATTCCATTGCGTGCTTATGGTGTTCATTGTTTTGTGTTAAATTTCTGGTTTTCCTGTCCTTCACTAAAATGAAATAATGTTAGAACTGAGTACTTTTTTTGAAAAAGACTACCACATAGTAGGTCTTCCAGTAAATTTAAATTATGGAAACCTGTACAGATAAAGCTACAGATATTTCTTTCTTATAAACTTTGCTATTTAAAATGGAGTACTGGTGTGGCACTGTAGGACAAGCACTGGACTGCTAACCAGAATGTCAGCAATTCAAACCCTTGAGCCGCTCCTTGGAACTGACTCGAAGGCACTCAACAACACTATGAAAGAATTTGGAGCTATATAGAACTACACATATCACTTACTACTAGAATCATTCATTGGTAGACTGAGTATTTTCTTATGTGCCCAGGAGCTCTAATGATGCCGTAGGATAAGCTCTGGACTGTTCACCACAAGGTTGGCAGTGCAGAAACCCACCAACTGCTCTGCAGGAGAAAGATGAGGCTTTCTGCTCCTGTAAAGATCTTACAGCCTCCCAGGGAGCTCTGGTAGCATAGCAGTTACGAGTCGGGCTGCCAACCTCGGTCAGCCGTTCAAAGCATCCAGCCGATCCATGGGAGAAAGATGAGGATTTCTGCTCCTGTAAAGATTTACAAAGGAGCTCTGGTAGCGTAGTGGTTATGAATTGGGCTGTAAACCACAAGATCAGCAGTTTGAAACTACCAGCTAGGAACTGCGGTAGAGGGTGAGGCTGAAGAGAGATAACAAAAGAACCCAAGTTTTGAGGGTGATGGTTTCATGTACCTACACATAATGTAAATACTAACACTCCAATTTTAAATGTGTGTAGTTTATTAAACATTACAAATAACAAAAGAAAAATAACCTAAAGGAAAATATGAGCAGCATTCCAAACCCAAAGAAAGTCACTGTGGCTGACGAGGACCAAGATTTGTATGTTGTTAGGTGTCATTGAGCTCGTTCTGATTCATAGTGATCTTAAGTGCAACTGAACCAAACACTGCCCGGGCCTGCGCCATGCTCACAGTGGCTGTGTTTGAGCTCACTGTTGCAGTCACGGTGTCAGTCCATCTCATTGAGGGTCTTCTTTTTATTGCCCACTTTACCCTCTCCTTTAGAAGTCCTGGTGTGGCGCTGTAGGTTAATGCACTGTACCACAAGGTTGGTTTGAGCTGCAGTGCTGTTCGAACTCACCAGCAGCTCCTCAGAAACGCTATGCAGAGTCACTATGAGTTGGAACCGACTGGATGACACTTAACATCAACCCTGTACTTCACCAGTCCTCCAAGAATTGATCCATCCTAACAACAAAAACAAAATGTGTGAGACACAAGTCTTGGCCATCCTTACTTCTAAGGAACATTCTGGCTGTACTTTCTCCAAGACAGATTTGTTGGTTATTCTGGCAGTCCATGGTATATTCTTTGTCAACCCATAATTCAAAAAAAGGCATCAATTTTTTTAAAGCTTTTATTGTGAATTAAGTGATAGTTTACATAGGATAACATCAGTATTGCCATCATCCTTTCGTGCTTTGGTTCATTGCAATGATCACAATCCCCTCCATGCATTATCATTTAATAGTATTTGCTTCTGTTTCCTCTGTTTGTTTTTGATGTACATAAAAACACTCAGATACATAATCATTTAAACAACCAAAGGGCACATTCTGCAAGCCTGTCTCCTGGCTGCCAGCACACAGCCTTTCCCTTTACCTGAATCTAGAGTCCTCAGCTGCTCTATCTCTCTCTCCATGCCATCATCTCTTCCTCCATCTCTGGTGTTGCTGCTTCTCTGGATAGGGTCCCACATTCTGCTTGTGCTCTTCTCCCTTGATGGTCCTAGGGTCCTCTGTTCCTGGAATGTAAGATTAACTACTCTCTCCTTTATGTTACAAAACCTTTACAGTTGTGACCATTGCAATTAGTCATAACAATTACTGCTGAATCAAAAGAATCCTATCCCCATCTCCTTTGACCAGACCCATCTAGACAAGATGAAAACTATTCAGTAGGGATTCTACCTTCCCTCATTCGCTCTGACTCTAAACTCCCTCTAGAAAACTTGTAAACCAGCCACTCCATGCTTTTATAGCGCCACCCCCAATTTTAGGTGGCCAATGTCTAAGTTCCCCATCCCTATCAACCCTGTCTATGGAGGAGATAGGCTAGATCCTTGATGTGAAGACGCCTTCCCTCTCAGTTGGTATTTTGAGTTACTACATCCATAAGTATAGGTCAAGTTCATAAAATTATAGCAATTTATACTTGCTTCCTCTAGTTGAGCTCTGGTCATCGAGGCTAGGTCAAATGGGTACTCTGCAAGTCTGGGCATTCTTGTGCATCTACCCACACTTCGTATCAGCTGGACACTTCACTCTCAGCTCTATTCCTCTGTGGCTAGATCAGTGTCCATGGGCTCAGGAGTTCCCAAGTCTCCTCAAACTTCAGACCAACCAGGCTTTCCTCCTCTCTACCTCAAGGTCAACGGGAGTCTATGGAATGTGGTCGAACTCAGCCCATTTCTTCATTACTGACTTTCCCCCACTTCCACTCAAATATAGATCAACACAGTTGCCAGTGAGCTTGCATGCCTTCTCATGTGTTCCCTTTGAGTTTCAGTCTTGGAAGGGGGTTTGTCCTAAAGGGACTTTATCGCTTGCCTTGATGGCTCTCTGGCAAATAGCTTGCTTGTTCTTATAATAGCCAAACAGACTGTCACTTTTGTTTTTTCCTGCTGATCTTTCAGGAAGCATCTTCTGTTCCTCTAGTAGCTCTAGGTTGTTGTTGTTGTTGTTGGTGGTGGTGGTGGTTATGTGCCATGGAGTCGGTTCCAACTCATAGCAACCCTGTACATGGTTTCCGAGGCTGTAAATGTT